GATTTCTAATAAAGCTATTGGTGTTTTGTCTCTTGGTTTACTTTCTATATTACTTTTATTGTGGTGTCATCTTTGGACTTACAAAAAGAAAGACTCTTTGATCAAAAGGGAAGAAAAGAACTGAAGAAGAAGCAAAGATTAAAGGGGAAGAAGAAAACAAGTTGTGGTTTTGGTGGATAAAGAAGAAGAAAAGAACCGAAGAACAATGGCCTCTCACATAATCTTCTTGTAGGTGAAGATAGAAGAGAGAAATGAAAAACCTTCTCAGTTGTCATCAAATTTCCTGCACGTCATCTTGCGAAAGGCTCAATACCATGGCATATCAGCATGTGAGGCCCTTTAACAAACAGGCCAGGATTCAGCTGACCAATCCGCGCCATTGTGGGCATTATTTAACCCAAATTGCCAGAACTAATGTACTTTTAACACTTGTTAATCTGTTACAAAGTGTGAAAAATACAAAAATTACACTAAGATGATTCTACATTGTACATGTATTAAGAATTCACATCTTACACCCCAAACTGAGCTGTAATGCACCGCATTAAGCCGTCTTATGAGATTTATGCATGACGGTTATATTTTTATACCATGATGAAGATTTTCTGTAACGTTTTCTCTGATAAATCTAATCGCATTTTATGGAATTCATATCTCATACTTCGGATATAAACACATTAATTAATCTTAATCAAAACCCTAGACCGATGAGGATATATATATATATATATATATACATAAGATTGTTTCCTGGTACTGGTTTTGTTACTAATGTTTACCATATCTCCATTTCATAGTAAGCAACAGTTTTTTTTATAACACTGAGACGTAAAAATATTCGAGACAGTACAAAAGGATAGAGAATCATAAGAGACAAAAGAGATGTCAGTAGACATCAAAACAACAAGGAGAAAGAACTTCACCCAACCGTTAAATGCTGAGCCTCCTGAGCGAGCAGATGGTGTAACCATACGGGAGAATTGCTGGCAATGTAAGACTGGTGGCGATGATCGCGAGTGACACTTATAGCAATAGCGTCAGCAGCTTCATTCCGTTCTTGGAGTGCGTGATCTAGACTCAAGAGAGCAATCTTGGATAGCAGAAAGCAGACATTGTGGCGGACAAGGCTGAGACTCAGATGGTTATCCGGATTACTGAAAGCGTCGTGGAGGCCCTCGGAGGAAGTCTCAAAAATACTATTCGAGAAATGCAAGTTGTGGATGCATTCCACAGCCCATAAAAGAGACCATAGATCGGCCTCTGCTTTTGTACGCATATAAGAATAAGCACGCCGACTATGCATGAGTGTACAGCCATTTTCATCTCGTAGGATCCAAGAAGCACCACTAATGCAATTCGGACTTAACCATGAAGATCCAACATTACATTTTAGGAAACCATGGGGAGGTTTTTTCCATCTAATCATTGCTGGAGGAGCCTCATCGACATTCACTTTTGTGTCGGTGAATGTATCAAACCATGTTGATTCCTCTTCAAAGGCTTTCTTAGCAATAAAAGAAGGTTCAGTATCTTTGTCTTGGAAAACAAAATTATTCCTTGCTTTCCAAATTTCCCATAACAACCATGGAAAAACATTCCTTGTATGAATATCCATTGCTTTGTTTTTGGCACTCTTAGTTAGGTGAACAAAATTTAAAAATGTTGAGTTCCGAGAAAAGCCATTTAAAGGTAATGGAAAATTAGCTTTCTGCCATCTTATGCGTGCTTTCGGACATGTAAAAAGCACATGACATATACTCTCCGCCTCAGTACCGCAAGCCGAACATGTTTGGTCTATCGGGATACCCCGAGTAGCCAAACGTTGTTTCACCGCTAGGGCACCAGATAGAGCCCGCCACATAAAATGTTTTGTTTTTGGTGGAGCTTTAACTTTCCATACCTCCTTCCATAATTGTTTTTCAATAGGAGTGAGGGAATGACCTGAGGGATGATCATATTCAACCAAAGCTTCTAACAGCTTGTACCCGCTTCTAGTCGAATAAGAACCACTCGTTGTGAAACCCCATATGAGTGTATCGTCAACTATCAATGATGGTTTCAAAAGTAAAATCTTTTGAGCATCCTCTGCCGTAAAAGTTGATGTAATAAAGTAGTATCCCACTAATTCGTGCCCGGAATAAAGAGATCGGAAACTTTGAGCGCTAGATTTATGGAACTATTTTCCCGGTACATTGGTGGCCGAGGAATGGTATCGATAATCCAGTTTTCCGCCCAAACATTGGTATCAACCCCATTGCCGATATGTTGATATAAAACTTTTTTTAATAATTCTCTACCATGCATGATGCTTCTCCATGCATACGATGGTCTTGTGCCATGCCACAGTCCAAAAAATTCCCATTTTTGAAATATTTGCCTTTAAGAGTGCGCAAGACCAAAGAATCAGGATTATTCCAAATTCGCCAAGCTTGTTTTCCAAGTAAAGCCTGGTTGAAACGACCAATATCATGGAACCCGAGACCTCCCTGTTCTATTGGTTTACATAATTTTTCCCATGCCACCCAGGGGATCTTCCTTTTTTTATTCCCACTACTCCACCAAAATTCAATAATCGCACTCGTAAGTCGTTCACAAAGACCTTTCGGTAGGCGAAACACTGACATTGCATATATTGGGAGAGCTAAAGCAACCAATTTTATTAAAACTTCCTTAGCCCCCATTGATAAGGTTTTGGAATACCAACCTTGTAATCTACCTTCTAATTTTTCTTTGATAAAATTTAATAGATCTTTTTTGGATCCCTGAAAGCATTCAGGGAGACCAAGATATGTACCTTCCCCTCCTTCCTTGTCGATACCCAAAATTCTCTTGATATCCTGTTTTGTATCATCAGTGACGCTTTTCCCAAAAATGATAGAAGACTTTAAAGGATTAATCATTTGTCCAGAAGCCGCCCCATAAAGTTTCTACAATATCCTTGCTAGAGGCTTCACATAACAATAAGCTATCATCCGCAAATAACAGATGATGCACAGAAGGACTATCTTTGGCTAACTTTACACCCTGTAACTTTCCTTGTCCTTCAGCTCTATTTAGAACATGTACTAATGCTTCAGCACATAAAATAAATAAAAAAGGTGATAAAGGGTCCCCTTGACGTATTCCTCTTTCAGGTTTAATAAATCCATGAGATCTGCCATTTAGTAACACTAAGAAAGTAACAGTGGAAATACATGACATAATCCAAACGACCCATTTCCGATCAAATCCCATTTTTTCAAGTAAAATTTCAAGAAAGTCCATTCAACCCGATCATAGGCTTTGGACATATCCGTCTTAATAGCCATACTTTCCCTACCAATTTTATCACTGGTGTGCAGTCCATGTACCAATTCATGTGCTATAATGACGTTGTCCGTAATTAGCCTACCGCCAACAAAAGCCCCTTGAGTTTCCGAAATTATATTAGGTAAAATTACTTTCAATCGGTCGCAAAGAATACAAGAAATGATTTTGTATTGGACTGAGCAAAGACTAATGGGACGCATATCCTTCATCTCCGTAGGGTGTAAAATTTTTGGTAACAAAAATAATTGTGTATGGTTCCAACCCTCAGGAAGAATAGATGTTTTAAAAAAACTTTGAACATTATCAATAATCTTCTGACCGACAATATGCCAATATTTCTGGTAAAAATAACCAGTAAGACCATCCTTTCCAGGGGCGCTGCTACTTTTAATCCCAAATGCTGCTTTTTTAATTTCATCAGGGGATACCTCTCTGATTAACAAAGGGTTCATTTCTAAGGTTACCCTAGTATCAACACCTTCAAACAAAGTTTCCAAGTCTCGTGGGTTGGAGCTAGTAAACAAATCTCTAAAATATTCAGTAGCAATATGACCTTTTGATCCTTCAGAATAGTGCTCATTTCCAAAGATATCTTTAAGCATTAAAATTTTATTCCTCATTTTTTTCCCTTTAACCACATTATGAAAATATGTAGTATTTCTATCCCCTTCCCGTAACCATTCCTCTTTGCTTTTTTGTCTCCAGAAGATTTCTTTTTCCCTAAAGGCCGTAGCCAATTCCTGTCTTAGCCTCCGTACCAGACTATAAATGGAAAATTGCTTTGAACTTTCTTTGTCCAAATCAATTTGTAGCCGTTCGATTCTTGTTTTTGAATTCCAATCATTGGTCCTTTTAAGCTTGGACAATTCCTATCGACACTGGCCAATACGATCTAAAACACTGAGGGTGGAATTAATATTCTCCACATCCCATCCCCGATTAATGGCCTCCTCTACCCCTCTTTTGCCAAACATACGTTTATCGAAATAAAATCGTCCTCTATGCAAATTTTCAGGCTCTAGTGCAAACTCTATGCGAAGAGGCCGATGATCCGAAAGCCACATACTCATATACTCAGTAGACGATTGTGGAAAGAGTCTAAACCATTCCCCATTGCCAAAACTTCTATCCAGTTTACATTGAACCCAGTTGTGATCCCTCATACCTGCCCATGAAAGAGTATTTCCCGTACTTCTCCTCTCCCTGATTTTACATGCTTCAGCCATATTCCGAAAATCAAAGAAAGTGTTTTCATCTCTAGTGAGCAACAGTTAAATATGAAAAAAGTCAGGTTAGGTGTCTTTACTTTAGTACATACATTATATATATATATATCAAGTCCTTGTAGTCTTCTTTTATTTGTTTGTTCTCCTCTGTTGTACAGCATCATCTCATTCTTTACTATTAGCAACAAAATCTTATTTTACAAATACATGTTTAAAATGTTGAAGTGATTTTCTCATTCATCTTATCTATGGAAATACAACAACAAAGAGGAGACTGAAGTAGAAGACAAAATATAATATAGCCACAGAGTAGTATCAGACACAGTTCTTGTCTTGTGGCTTCGTCTCTTCTTCAACAGTCTCTACCACAGAACTGGCTTCATCAGGAGTGCCTTTGTATCTATACCATCTAGCCATTAACAAGAAGTAAAGAAACTTAACGAACATGAGTCCTGTAAGCATGAATTAGAAGTAGTCCAGCTTCGCTTTGTTCAAATCCGCAGCTAACCAATTCCCTGAAGGTGAATGCTCAGTTGACCTGTGAACAGTGGAAATAAAGAAGCTGGCAAGGTAACTCGAAACTCCACCACCAACATAGAAGACAGAACCAGCAAAGCTCCTCATGTTTTCAGGAAACTGCTTGTAGTAAAACTCCATTTGTCCAATAGCTGCAAAAGATTCTGCTATGCCTGCAAGTGTTAGCAGCGGAATCAGCCACATCGCGGACATTGAGGAGATCTCTCCTGTTCGAGGTTCAGACCCGAGTGTAGGTCTTGTCAGCGCAAAAGTTCTTCTACGTTCCTCTGTGAACCCGGAAACTAATAAACTCAACACCGCAAAGAAAATGCCTGCTCCTATTCTCTGTAAGAGTGTTATCCCCGTGTCTAGACCCGTCACTCTTTTAAGTGAGGGGACAAGGACACGGTCATAGAATACGATGAAAACCGTCATACCACACATCAAGAACACTACATAGGTGGCTGCTGGAGTCTTGAAGCCACCTGAACCCAATAGCCTGTCGCTCTGGAGTGCTTGGAAGACCGGATAAGTCATCTGCATACTTATTGCAAGGTAGTAAATGGCGCAAGCGAACCAGATTGGAATTATTCTTACAATGCATTTCACTTCTTCCACTTGCTGCATCGTACATAGTTTCCATGGATCCAAAGCCGCTCCATCAGAGTTCAACTTGTCCTCAGGGGTCATGATCGCTGCATTGTCTAGAAACCTGGAAATATACCAAGCTTTGGTCAGACAAGACATAAAGCAAAGGAGCAGAACAAAGAAACACAGAGATAGAACTATTATTCTGACTTACCTAAGCTGGTCGGTGTACTTTAGAATAGAGTTTGCATAGTTATGAGGAATGTGGTTGTAAGGATCGAGCCAAGGCTGCTTAACTGGCTTCAATCGACGTTTCTTGATGGCTGCGGCTATAACATGACATATGCCAGCCAATGGACTACCAGATGCTTTCACTTTTACATACAGTTTATGGCCAGCAAAAAAGATCACGCAGGCCAAGAACATTTGACTGGATGTACACAACTAGCGTGAGCGAGATGATCTGTGCGAACGTGAAGGTGAAGAAGTGCCGGTTGAAGAAGCTGTTAATTCCTTTCTTTCCAGATTCTGACTTGGGGTTGAATTGGTCAGCACCAAACGCCAAGTTACACGGCCTGATGCCACCAGCACGGTAGCACCTACCACGAGAAGCGCTAAACCCATCAGCAGAAAAGCAATCTGCCCCCCGCTTGGGCCTTGGCACGAACTTTGTGTTCCACAAGGAAAATAGGGTGCAGTCCCGGAACTGCAGCAGTCAGTAGTATCACAAGTGATTCCCTACAACAAAGATGAAATATGGTTTAGTAATAATAAAAGAAAAAAGACAGAATCTTGGCGAAAACAAAACAAAATGATCATTTGTTTTTAGTACCAGAAAACAGGTGATAACAGCAACACTGAGAGTCTTGTAGCGGCCAAAGTAAGTGTCGCAGAGGAAAGCAGCGAGGAAAGTGCCGAAGTTGATAGAGCCACTGAAGACATTGATGATAGTTGCAGCTGTAACGCTCTTAAGGTTCAATACTGATGTTAGGTACACTAGAAGGTTTGATAATGTCCCGATTATCCCTATCTTCTCAAACGTCTCATTACCTGTGATACATAACATAAGAATATCTTTTCAACATAAATGATTTGTTAAACGATAAAGTAACAAACATTTTACGTTCAGTTCACAATGTTGAAATGGAAGATTGGACTTTGAGTGGTTCCACATGGAAACTTTATTCATTCTTCTTCTTAACTGCTGTAACTCCCAGAAACTTACTCTCAAATCTTATTTCAGAAACTTAAACTTGCATGATTCGAAGTCTCTCATGTTAGATTATCGAGCAAACTCAACCAGTTTGGTTGGTCTGTTTTCAATCAAATTACGTTTTTTTTTTTCGAATCCATTTTAATTCATCTCGAAATCTCAAGAAACGAACTCCAAATCAAGATTTTCAAAACAGTCAAGTCAAAGACAGAAAACAAAAGAAACGAAACTAAATAGAAAAAACATCAGGGGCAAAATGTTCTATAATCCGACAAAGCATACACAATAAACAAAACGTAGTACACAAAATCTTCAAAACAAAAAATGTTGTCTGAGGAGAAGAAAAAAAGCGTTACCAAATGATAAAGGGCATGACTTTCCATCCTCTATAAAAGAGCTTCTTCTGCTCGTCGTCAAGTTAACCGACCGAATCAGAATCACCGCCATCGACGGCGGAGTAGGGTTTGAGATCCTCCGTCGTCGCAACCTCAAAGGGCTTTCTCTCCATGGTTTCTATCTGCGTGTACTGGCTTATCTCTTTTCTCTCTATGGCTGTGGATGACTCTGCTCTTCATCTTAATCTCCGCTCTATCGTCTTCTTATATAGTGGGGTGTCTAGAGAGTCAGAGAACGTGTGGATTTGTCTGAATCAAATCTTGACAACGAAGAAAATAAGACATAAAGGTGAATTTGGTAGGAAGACAGAGACATGTGGAACTTACTCATTTTTATTTTAGGAAAGTTTACTCAAATATACCAAATCTACATTTGACTAGAACTATGCACATTTTTTTTTATTATTGATATTTTTTTTTCTATACACTATATTATAAAAAACGTATTTACAAGAATGTCATTATTTTTCGTTGTCACTTAAGCAAAAACCCAGCGCCACGTAAAAATTCGGTTCCGTGTGTCGTAAAGTTCCACATACGTCGTTACGGCTGCTTTATCGCTATGTTTCGGCTGATTTAATTAAAGCGACTGATTTAAAAGAAAAAGACTGACTTAAGGTCATACGTCAGCCGCGCGGTATGGCTGGTTTACAGAAACCTGGCTGATTTATGGGAAAACGGCTTACATACACAAGTTATGACTGACTTATACATCAGCGGTTTGATTTCTGGAAAATTTGGCTGAGTTGTAGTAACGAAACAACTAAGTTAATAAACATCGAATGGCTGAGTTAATAGAATTGCGGCTGGCTAATGGGATGTTGTGACGGCTGGGTTTATTTTAATCAGCCGTAGTTGGATAGCTTAATAGTAAACTCAGCTTCTTTACGGTTGAGTTATTAGCGAAAGATTAATTACTAGAATAGATTCGGTTGACGACTGATTTATGTGAAGATATGGCTGACTTATGGTTTTTCATTATAATTACGGCTGATTGTTTAGAAAAAGATTAATTCCTGGAATGTATCCATGACCCGGCTACCTTACTGATCAACTGATTGTTCATGTCATCCGCGAGGTCATCAACTTGGGTTTGCCATGTCATCACTTACAGACGAAATTTACAACTTGTGTTTACGCGAATGTTCATATTATTCTTCATATTAGTTAGAGTCCCTATTGTTATCTATCGTCTTCATCTTTATCAGTTGGTTATGGATGCGGTAATTATTGTTTCCGGTAACTGAATTAAGAAAAAGAGATATGTATTCAACGTCGACAGTAGAGAGTGTAGAGTTCTTCATTTAGATGAGAAAACAATACTTGTAGATTTTGCAAAGTCTGTCCTCGATGATTATGGATTGAATGATTTGAGTGATCGTATTTAGCTTAGCTACATGTTCTCGAATAAAGCATTGAAAACAATGGCGTACGATACTCCACTAGTTTACGTGACCAATACTTTACAATTGCAAAGCTTTCTAAGCCTAAAGAAAATTGAACAACTACGTCAGTATGTGGAGATTGCGGAGAACAAGGATGACAGAGCAAGCAAGAAGAGTAAAACAGTTATCAGTTTTAGCTCAAAAGTAGAAGTTTTAGAAGTTGAGTCCAGAGACGAAAGTTACAGTGCGAGTTATGGTGGTTGCAGTTTGAACAAGGAAAAAGATGACAATGATAATGACTCTTTAGTAAGATGGGAGGAGAAAACACGAAGAAGTTGGAGAAGATGAAGTCCGAGAAGATGAAATATTAAATGAAAACGAAGAAGATGATGAATTTGAAAGCCGATATTATATGTTCGACGATTCGGACGGTGCATCACCTGAAAATGATAACTTCAGCTCATATGATGAGTCTCCTTCAGAAGACGAAGATTCACCAACGCTACCTCTCAAGAAGAGATATCAGAACTTCTCGATGAGCAATATATAAAGGGAATCTTGAGGTTCTAAGCTTGGAGATGTCGTCAATAAACGTTGCGGTAGAGCAACAATACGAGAGTAAAGACACTTTGGAGAGACGACTGAAACTTCTTACAGTGAGGCATCGATTTGATTTGATGTAGAAATTTCAACCCCGACATCATACGTTGTTATGTGTGTGGTTGATGGATGTCTCTGGAGAGTTTGTGCTTCTACCCAAGGGGAATCCCCTGTGTTTTACGTTCGTATTTACGATTCAGATCATACATGTTCTGTACTTGAGCATCATAATCGATCTCGACAAGCAACACCAGATATTTTAGGTGAGTTGTACAAGAATTTTCCCGGTGATGTTGGTCCGGCCGTTCTCCCTACGAGTGTCGGAATAACTATCTCTAAGCAGTTTGGTGTAAAGGTAATTGCTTCGTTGTGGCTGGTTTATGTTAACAATATACGATTCGGCTGGGTTATTATAATGTTAGATGCGACTGAGTTATAGTAAATATAGGTTATTATAATTGCTTCGATGTGACTGTCTTAATTCTATGTTAGGGCTGAGTTATGTGCATCGTTTTATCACGTGAACAGATGGAATATTGGAAATCACACCGGACGCTGAAATTTGCAAGGGAAATCGATGAGGGAACACCTGAGTGTGGGTTTGAAAGGTTTCCTTCTTACTTATACATGATAAGAATGGCAAATCCGAGTACAGTTACGCGTCTTCAAATCGATGAGTTTGGAAGATTCATGTACGTGTTTATTGCGTTTGGTGCAAGCGTAAATGGATTTCCTTTCATGCGAAAAGTTGTTGTTGTCCACGGTACATTTCTAAATGGTAAATACAAAGGTACGTTACTCACAGCACTAGCTCAAGATGGTAACTTTCAGATTTTTCCAATAGCCTTCGCAGTAGTTGACACTTAAAATGATGATTCATGGCATTGGTTTTTTACGCAACTAAAACTCGATAGGGAAAGCAATTAGAAATGTGTATCCGTTAACTTCTCTGGGGGAATATACACCTACCATTTATATAAGAACATATTGGGACGGTAGAAAGGAAAATATGTACTGGTGAAGAAAGTTGCAAGATGTTTTAGGATGTCTGACTTTACTGCGATTTACAAGGAGATTGAAGCGATTAATCATGCACTCCACGGCTACCTTGAAAGAGCTGAGCCCCGACTGTGAACGCGTGTTCATTTCCCGGGCGAGAGATACAATTTGATGACCACGAACATAGCGAAATCAATGAACAAAGCATTATCTTCTTCTAGAGGTCTTACCATTGTTCAAATATTAGAATTGATACGGGTTATGATGACCAGATGGTTTACTGAACGGAGAGAGGATGCCAGATCGCAGCCAACCACGCTTACGCGTGGTGTGGAGAAACTTTTACATGTAAGTCAGCCGTAACAATAAACATAAGTCAGCCTTCAAAGTTAATAAGTTAATAAGTCAGCCGTTGTAGTTCGCTAATCAGCCTTTATATGTAATAAGTCTGTCATTCCAAATTTATTCTTTATTTTTAATAGGGTTGTGAAACTGTCGCCAGAGATTTGACAGTACAAAGAATTAATGATCATCACACTGAAGTTAAATATGGATCTTCTGGCGAGTCTTTGAATGTTGTGAATTTGGTAGAGCGAAAGTGCACATGTCAGCGTTTCCAACGCAAGAAATTACCATGTGTACACGCAATCGCATCTGCGGAGTACATGAATGTTTGTCGTATATCCATGTGCAGTCCTTACTATAACAGCGATTATTTGGTGAGCGCATATGCTTAATCGGTCATGCCGGTTGACAAAGCGCAACCTATTCCAGAATTAATGGCTAACCAACCGTGCTTCCCCCTATATATTCGTCAACAACCAGGCAGATGAAATCTGCTTTAGAAGTTGCACTTGCAAATAAATGTCCTAGGAAAGAGCACACATATTCTCGATGTAGACAGGGTGGACATAATGCGAAACTTGTCCCATGTAAACAAGTGTTGCAGGGACTTCATGTTTTTGTATTAGGGCAGGGTTATGGGTTTTAATGTTCCTCTATTACGTCTGGGTTACTTATTTTCAAGTTTGGGTTCACGGCTGGATTATTAACTTTCATTTTTTTTGTATTACGTATTAAACTTGTTTTCATGTATTTCTGTTACACCTGGATTAATGATTTTCATGTTTTTGAATTACTGTTGAGTTCTGACAATATGTGTAACTTTTTGGTATTAGTTTCAGCCGTATTTTTACACGCCAACACAATGGCAGCATAATTAGCCAATAACAGATGAGGAAAACTTCGAAAATTTAACCGACGGAACTCAATAGTCCCTACGTAATTTTCTCTTTTTAAAATACGAAACCCACAAATTAATTTACTCATTATGGCTAAGATTAAATTACTCAATTGATAGCTCTCTATTTCAAATGAAATTGTTAAAATTCCCGCCAAGAATACGAAACATCGTGCAGTAAATTTTGGCTGAGTTAGTATGATAAATAGTTGAGTTATTGAAGTTAATAAGTTACTCTACAATTATCTTTCAAATCTCTATTTCTTATATAAATGTTGTCTCTATCTACATCAATTTCAAGGATCTTAGAGTAAATGGAATAATTCCCTCTACTTGAATTGCCTGAAGAAATTCAGGCGATGGTGGTTGAACATGTGGCCCGTAACTCCTTCCAAGATCTCTATGGCATCAAAGCATCGTCCAAGTCGATGAAGGTGTTAGCAAAGCGGCGTACGGTATACCATTTTTGCGATGTGTTATATGTTGACTGAGGACTCAATATGGCTTATGAGTTCTTGAAAACATGCTATGCTGAGAGAAATCCAAGCACACTTTATATAAAGGGTGTACAGTTTTTCTTCTCATTCAACCTTAAAGAAGAAGGGCTTTCTCTCATGAAGCGTGCAGCAAATGCATGATATGAGCGTGCTGTGTATACACACGCAATGACTCAAGCAATCTTTTGGTGTCATGCGCAGTATTTTGCTGGTATTCCAAGAGAATCAGTTGACATGATCTGGAAACTAGTTCGATCTGTTAAATGGGGATGGGATTTGTGGCATTCCGACGAGTTATGCCAACTTAAGGCCCTATTCCAGTCAGATTTTC